TCCCTGTCCCCGTCCCGTCCCCCGCTGACCCCGCTCTCTCCGCAGGCGGGCTGGACAAGCCGAGCGTGCCGCAGCGCCTGCCCAAGGCGTTCAGCACGGCCTTCGTGGGCTGCATGCGGGACGTGCTGGTGGACCGCCGGGAGCTGCACCTGCAGGAGGACGCGCTCAACCGCCCGCGCATTCTGCACTGCGGGGCCCAGTAGAGCCCAGGCGCCTCCCTCCCCCCTGCCTACTGCTGTAATTATTTTCTATTTTTGTAAACTTATTGCTTTTTATATTTTGGGGGGGACGGGGAGGTCAGGAACCCCTTTTTGCTTTCGGGTTCTCGGGGCGGCGAGCGGCGCAGCGAAGCTCGGCCGAGGCTCCGAGGAGCGGCACCAGAACTCTCCCGCTGCGGCGTCCATCTTCTTCATACTTGAAGCTTCTTCGTTCTGGGGTCGTTTTCCCCCTTTTTTGCCTGTTTTTGGGGAGTTCGTCCCCAAAAACAACCCCGTTTTCCCGTGCGGGGGAAACGCTGCCGGTGCTGGTGAGGCGCTCACGGATTGACGGGGTGGGAATTCCCGCCCTGCTCCGGGCTCTGGCTCTTCCAAACCTTCTCCTGGCGCCGCGTTCACCGAATTCCTGCTGCCCTCGTTCCTCTCACTGTAATTTATGTGTGTAAGGATCTCAAGTGCTTTTCTCCTCCGAGCTCTGCTCAAATCAGGGACGGAGCCGGGCCCGAGCTCTGCTCCGCGCTCGCTTGGGACTCTGCTGGACTCAGAGGTGCCGGGGAGGCAAAAATGGATTTTCCCAGCGGTTCTCCTCCTCCTCTTCCTCTCGGACACGCGCAGGAGCAGCTGTGAAACCTCATTGCCACGTTCTGTGTTCATCCCAGACGTGTCCTGACCCCTCCCTGCGCCGGGGATCGCTTGGAGCTCCTCTCCAGGAGCTGGGAATTCTGTCCCTCTCCCGAAAGGACCAGGAAATTCCCTTTTCCCTCCTCAGAGATCTCCTGGGTGTGTCCTTCCACGCCCCACGGCCTTCTCCAGCCTCCGGCTCCCAGCCTGGCAAGGCAGAGCTGCCACTGAGCCACTCCCACGAAGAAAATTTGGAATTTTTCACCTCGGACTTGCAGTTCTTGGGTCTTCCAGGTTCCTCTGGATGCCGCCAGCGCAGCAGGAAGGGCTCCAGCAGGAGCAGCAGTGGGGCTGGGGAGGATTTGGGGAGAATTTGGAGCATTTTCTTCCAGGAAAGGAAAATTTTGGGGCCAGTTCTGAAGTTTTTGGGGTGTGGCTGCAGGCTGGGATCTCCTGGAATGTGGAGAAGAGGAGATGGATCCCAGCTCTGGGAGAAATCCCGTTGGGATTCCTTCTCCGTGGAAGGGTTTCCTCGTGCTTTGTGGCCTCAGCTGGAATTTCTCTGTGGAAAAACAACTTTTGGGAATTCTTCTGCGGGATCCCGCCGGGTTCTGGGTGGGAATTCCTGCCCCAGGTGCCAGAATTTGGCTTTTTCCCCCTAAATTTCCACCCCACCTTGCAGGGCACCCCTTGGAATGGGGTTTTGGCACCAACTTTTGAGCCAGGAAAGGTCAAATTTCTTCTCTCAGGGTGAGCTCTGAACAAAGGTGGAACCAAGAGGGGAAACCTATGGAAAAACCACTCGGATCCGCTTTGATTTTGTTTATTTGATTTAAAAAATAATAAATATTCCCAAGCTGTGACATTCCTGTGGAAAACCCGGCGTTAAATCTTCCACGGGGGGCTGTGCCCTGTGTGGGATGAAGGCTCTGCTGTGCCTGGGGGGTTCTGTGGGTGCCAAAATTCCCATTTTTTGGGAGCTGCTGGGTCCAAATTGGGATTCCTGGTGGGAAAAGCTGGGCTGGGCTGGGAGGGCTCTGGGAGTCCCCCAGTCCATATTTTGGGAGCAGGATTCCCAGCTGGGCTGGATGTTCCAGCTCCAGAGGGGCTGGGAAGCTGCTGAAGAAACAGAAAAAAAAAAACCCAAACAAAAAAAACCAACAACTGAAAAAAATAAATCTAAAAACTCCTCCTTGCTTTCGCTGGGGCTTGGAAATGCCTTAAAGCAGGACTCGTGTCCTCGTGGGGGAGCATTTGGAATTTCCAGCAGCACGCTTCAGCTGGGTTTTATTTTTAACAACCTTTCTACCACAGCATGTGCAAAAAAAAAACCCAAACAAACAAACAAAAAAGAGAAACATTGAGGTTGGGTTTTTTTCTAGATTTGATTTTTTTTTGTTTGTTTGTTTTTTGGTTTTTTTTTGTTTTTTTTTAATTTAAAACCCCTGAGCTGTCCATGGAGAGGGTGAATTCCTGGCTGAGTTGGGATGGGCAGGAGAGGAGCAGCATGATGTAACCATTACTAACTCGTGTCTTTCGTCGAATCACCCACAAATAAAGTTTGGAAACTATTAAAGAGGTTTTTAAGGGGCCTGCTGCTTTTTTTGTTTTCCTTTTTTTTTTTTTTCCCTTAGGATAGAGGAAAATCCTGCTTTTCCTGATGCTGTCTGCTGGGCAGAGGAGGGTGAAGTCTCCTAAATTCGGTTTTTCCAGGAATTCCAGCCCCAGTCCCAGGGTTTTGCAGGACTTTTGTGTCTTTCCTCCCCCTCCGCGGTGGTTTCAGCTCATGGGAGTCTCCACTTATCCCCTCAGCACCGGGGAACCTCCCAGCCTCTGGAATTTGGGATTCACCCTCCCAGCCTCTGGAATTCTGGTGTTGCCCCTTCCCAGCCTCTGGAATTCTGGTGTTTCCCCTTCCCAGCCTCTGGAATTTGGGATTCACCCTCCCAACCTCTGGAATTCTGGTGTTTTCCCTTCCCAACCTCTGGAATTTGGGTTTCCCCTTCCCAGCCTCTGGAATTCTGGTGTTTCCCATCTCTTCATCCAGCCCTCTCCATCCCAGCTCCTCACGGGAATAATCCCGGAGCTGCTCCGGGATGGGGGTGGGAATCTCTTTATTCCCTCAGGAGCCGGAGGAACGGGGGATCCTGGGAAGCTCCGGGCGCATTCCCAGCCCTGCATTCCATGGAGAGCCGGGCAGCGGGACGCGGGGACATTCCAGAGGCACGGGAAGATTCCAGAGGCACGGGAAGATTCCAGAGGCACAGGGACATTCCAGAGGCACGGGAAGGACATTCCAGAGGCACGGGAAGATTCCAGAGGCACGGGAAGGACATTCCAGAGGCACGGGAAGATTCCAGAGGCACGGGAAGGACATTCCAGAGGCACGGGAAGATTCCAGAGGCGCGGGAAGGACATTCCAGAGGCACGGCAAGATTCCAGGGGCACGGGAAGATTCCAGAGGCACGGGAAGGACATTCCAGAGGCACGGGAAGATTCCAGAGGCACGGGAAGGACATTCCAGAGGCGCGGGAGCGCGGTGTGTGGGATGTGCGACGTGCCCACAATCCCAGGAATGCAGCGGCTCCTGCTTGGCACCGCCGCCCTGCGGATGGAGCAGATCCAGGGAAGGTTTTTGTCCTGTCCCTTGTCCCCATCCCAGAGCAGACTCGGGAACTCCTGCTGGAACGGGATTTTGTCCCAGGTCCTGGCTGACAGCAGCTCCCATCGCTGTTCCCTATCCCTGAGCAGATCCAGGGGCTGTGGCACTGCCGGAACGGGATTTTGTCGCAGGTCCCGCCGGACAGCAGCTCCTGTTCTTCATCCTGAGCAGATGCAGAGGCTCTGGCACTGCCGGAACGGGATTTTCTCGCAGGTCCCGCCGGACAGCAGCTCCCATCGCCGTCCCCCGTGCCTAGGGGAAGGGCGGCCGCGTGGCCGGGGCCGCGGTGGCCGCGGGCAGCGGCAGCTCGGGCCGGCCGCCGGCCCGCGCCAAGCAGCGCAGGTTGCCGGTTTTCAGCGCGCACTGCACGGGCCACAGGACGATGCAGAAGAGGATGATGAGCAGCGCCGAGAGCAGCACGATGCGCTTCCAGTCCTCGCAGACGTCGCAGCGCGCCAGGCGCCCCGCCAGCCCCGCCGGGGCCACCTCGGCGCTCTCGGCCTTGGCCATGGCCACGTCGATGGAGTCGCACGAGTCCGGGTTCTCGGCGTCGGCCGAGGCGCGGCGGCAGCAGAGGCGGGTGCCGTCCATCCACAGCTGCCGCTCCCGCTGCAGCTCGGGCGGCAGCGTGGCCAGCAGCGGGCGGCTGGTGGGCAGCCCGGGCGCGCCCGGGCCGGGCAGCCGGGTGGGCTGGCGGCACAGCGGGCACGGCAGCGCCTCGTGGCCCGCGGCCAGCGCCGCGCCCAGCCGCGCCACGCACTCCAGGCAGAACACGTGCGAGCACTGCAGCAGCTTCGGCGTCTTGAAGGAGTTGTCGTACGGCGTGAAGCAGATGGAGCACTCCACCGGCGAGGCGGGCTTGGGCGAGCCCAGCGGCGAGCCCAGCGGCGAGCCCAGCGGCGAGCGGCCGCGCTTGCCCGGGGGCAGCGATGCGGGGCTCACGGGCAGCGATGCGGGGCTCACGGGCAGCGATGCGGGGCTCGGGGACAGCGATGCGGGGCTCACGGGCAGCGATGCGGGGCTCACGGGCAGCGATGCGGGGCTCACGGGCAGAGATGCGGGGCTCACGGGCAGAGATGCGGGGCTCAGGGGCAGAGATGCGGGGCTCCCGGAGCCCGAAGCGGGGCTCCCGGGCGGCGGGGAGGCGGCGGCGGGGCTGGCCGGGCGCTCCGCGGGGCGGGAGCGCCGCAGCTGCGGGAAGCAGGACATGGCGATGGAGCCCCGGGCTCGGGGAGCGTCTGCGAGAGAAAGCGCGGAGTGACTGCGCGGCGATCCCGGCCTTGCTCTGCCCGGTTCTGTTCATCGGATCCTACATCCTACATCCTACATCCTACATCCTAGATCCTAGATCCTACATCCTAGATCCTAGATCCTACATCCTATATCCTACATCCTACATCCTAGATCCTACATCCTATATCCTAGATCCGATATCCTACATCCTACATCCTATATCCTACATCCTACATCCTATATCCTACATCCTACATCCTACATCCTACATCCTACATCCTATATCCTAGATCCTACATCCTACATCCTATATCCTAGATCCTACATCCTACATCCTACATCCTAGATCCTACATCCTACATCCTACATCCTACATCCTACATCCTACATCCTATATCCTACATCCTACATCCTATATCCTACATCCTACATCCTATATCCTAGATCCTACATCCTAGATCCTACATCCTATATCCTATATCCTAGATCCTACATCCTACATCCTATATCCTATATCCTAGATCCGATATCCGATATCCTACATCCTACATCCTACATCCTATATCCTAGATCCTACATCCGATATCCTACATCCTACATCCTATATCCTACATCCTACATCCTACATCCTACATCCTACATCCTATATCCTATATCCTAGATCCTAGATCCTACATCCTACATCCTATATCCTAGATCCTACATCCTACATCCTAGATCCTACATCCTACATCCTATATCCTACATCCTATATCCTACATCCTAGATCCTACATCCTACATCCTACATCCTACATCCTATATCCTATATCCTAGATCCTATATCCTATATCCGATATCCTATATCCTATATCCTATCCTATTCTATTCATTTGATTTTATTTTATCCTATATCCTATATCCTATTCATTCTATTCTATTCTATTCTATTCTATTCTATTCTATTCTATTCTATTCTATTC